TGCAAAATGTCAATGGTAATCATTATGAAACAGTTGTTTGTGTTAAACCACCTAATTCACAAACATGCTATGGTTATTGCATGACTAAAGATGTTTCACAAAATCGTAGAACTCGACAATCTTCTGCAAATCAGAAAATTGTCTCTGCACAAAGTGTAAAAGAGCACGAGCATTTCATAGTAAATGATGATTGCATAAAAGGTATTGGTAATCATGATCAAAATACATTCAACTTTACTCCTCTGTCTGCAAATGGTTGTAAAACTGTGTGCAACAAGTTTAATATTGATTATAACAAACCAAATTTTCAACAACTCCCATCTGGGTCTTTAGGAAATGTTTGTAAGACCGAAAATATTATACCAGATTATAACAGTTTCTTTAGAGCTGTAGCGCAAGTCCTTAGTGGTTCTCAAAGAGCTCACTATAAAATCAGACTTGCTGCTGTTTCATACATGGCAAATAATCCTGAGCGATTTGACAAATTCCTTGGAAAAGAGTTTGTTTCTGTGTTGGACTACATCGAAAAGTCACAGATGAAGTATGTCAATCACAGTGCTACAGAAATTGAAATTGTATCTACAGCAAATATGTTGGGACTAAACATTTATGTATTTAATGGCATAAATTGGATTAAATATAGTTCCGAGAGCAGTAATTTGACCAACGAAAGTATATATTTACAAAAGTGTAATCAATATTTTCGACCAGTTCTTTGTATAAAAGGGGGTAATGATAAATCTTGCTTTGGATTTTGTAAAGTTACTCATTTGTCAGAGAAACGGTACTTACGTAAAAGATCTCAAAAAGTACCGATAAATGTTAAAAAAAATGTAAGTAGTCTTAAAAGTTCTGGTTCTTTTTCTAAGTACTTTAATCGAAAGTTCACATGGAAGAAAATTATTCAATATTCTACCCAAATGGCATATAGGGAAAATATGAAATCTCAGAACAGGATTAGATATCAAGAACATTTGCCACACAAAGAGCGTAAAAAAATGTCCATAAGAATTAATTACACGAAATATGCATCTTATAGAGAGAAAGTAAAGCAAATAAGTTTTCATAAGTACAAACAAGATGAGAATCATAGAGAGAAAGTCAAGCAAAGAAGTGTACATAAGTACAAAATCAACAAAAAACATAGAGAGAAAGTCCAGCAAATGAGTGTACATAAATACAAAGAAAACAAAAATCA